TCCCTAACCTAATATATATATATATATATATATATATATACACACACACACACACACACACACACACACACCCCTGTGGGATTACTATAGGCTTTCAGATAAAAGACCCCACATTTTACTTAACCCAGAAGCCTCTGTAAGGAAATTTTATACCTGCTCTCCATGCACACTTATAGCCAGGACCAGTCTAGCATCTGCAGATCCCTTGCAACTCTTCCTAGGACTCTTGTCTGATCTTTGGTTGCTCTGGAGGAGGAAGCTAATCACAACTCACAGCAAGCCACTAGGGCTAGTATAATTGGTCTGTGTTTAAATAAAGCTCTTGGTCCTGAAGTGAGCTCAGTGGCAGCCTGGAGTTGTAATAAACACTCTCCTAGAGAGACAGCAGCAAACCAAAGTGTTGTAGGAGGTTTTGGAAGGTCTTGAGGGCCGGGCAACTCTTCACTCTCAGAGACCCCCAAACCGAGCACAATATCAACCACCTCCCAGAATCTTTTGCATGTACAGCAGACCTTTAACTCTGCCTGCTCCCCACACCTCACACTGGGCCCTTTGACCATCCCCAGCCAGGAGTACATCTCTTCCAAAGCAGGAGTGCTGGCAGGCCGTGGGTGCAGGGGTGGTCCCTGTGGTAGCGTCGATGGAGGCCAGCAGGCTGTAAGCTTGTAATTTGCTGCTGTTTAGTTTGCTTGCAGAGTGTCTGGGGACACCATGGTTACCCTTCTTCACACCTCACCTTGAAGCTAAGCAGGACCTAGGCCACACATGTAGGTTTAGGAACAGGATTATGAGAGATGCCAAGTTCTCATCTAAGGCACCTATGGGCCAAGTGTACACTTTTTGACTGTGCAGAGGTTGAGTATGCCTTTCTGCTCTGCATACAACTAACACCGAGACCCAAACTGCTTTCAGGAGGAAATGTGCAGTGGCCATGAATATTCACAGAAAAAAAAACCACATGTGAAGTGTTGGTATGGAGACAGACACACAGCATGGTCCCTGAGATAGCAGGGAGTGCTGGCTAACCTCTGCAGAAGACTTTCAGCGTAACGAAGTCTGGCCGGCTGAGGAATGCATGTGCACTTCTGCCATCTATGGCAAAAATCCACAGTCCAGTTGTTTATGCTGCTTACCGAGCCTAATTCTTGGGGGTTTGGGTGTACTTGTGCAATGGCCAATTGTGCCGCAAGAAACCAAAGAATAAATCAACATTACAACACAGTCATAAAACCCTTTTCAATAATACTTTGCCTTGCAAACTAACCAGTCTCCCCATGTCTTCCAGATTACATCACCTTCAGCAGGGGAATAGCAACTTTTAACAAAGGCAGTTTTGATTAGGGACCATAAGGTGACTCCAGTATCCAAGTACGGAAATACAGCAGCTGTAGGTCTGTGATTTTAGAACAATGAAACAATCAAAGTCACTTTAATTAAATCATCCTCTCTGTTGTTTAGCCCTCTCTCTCGCTCACTCTGCTGTCAGGAATAAAGAAAGCAGGGCATCATCTTCTGAGTCTTTGGTTCCTAGCTGGAAGATAGTTTGAATTATCCTGCAAAGTTATTATTCTTTAGGCAAAATGGATGCAGGTAAATCTATCTAGACTGTTTTAAAGATGGGTCAGCTGGTCGCAAGGATACAGCAGGCTACCGTGGTAGGAGATGCCCATTTCACCTGGCTATCAAGCTCTTCTTCTTCCTACCTACCCTCAGCAATGGTCTGGTTAGGTTAGTTGTCCTAACTTGGGGGCACAGCTTTCTTCTTTTCCAACAGTCCAGTCTGTTATCATTAGATTTAGGCTGACTGGTCACGAGTCAGTGTAACACATTTTCCTCTTCTGGCCTGAGCCATTAGCCAATATTTCAGCTTTGCAGGTTGTTTCTGTTAGGAGGAGAAATTGATGATACGAGTCAGGTATTTCTAGGGTGCAATCCTGTTTATTTACAAAGAATGTACACAAAGTCCTGTTTCCCTGAACACAGCAGGAACCAGGACAAGGTGGTTCCCTTCCTCATAGCTCCAAGCCTGCCTTTCCAGCCAGCAGTCTGCCCAAAAGAAGCTCTCTCTCTCTCTCTCAGTTTTCTCCCAGGACATACTACTGGTGCTTTTCTGGCTACTTTTCTACTGGCTTTCTGTTTCTCACACACGGAAAACACAGGGGCTGGAGACTGACTGAATTGCAGCTGTGTGTGTGGGGCTCCGGCCACATGGTTTTGCTTCTACACCAGCCTTGCCATGTTCATCCAGCATTTGGGTGGTGGTTTCTATTTTTCAGCTATCATTAAACAAAGGGGCATTTAATTGCTCCTTCACTTAGGCTGAGTTAAAGGTAGCTGGAACACCCATCAGCTTCAAGGAGGTCTGTGATTGCCCAGATCGTGACCATGATTGCCACACACATGCTGGCTGCTACCAGCCCCACCCAGCATAACAGCCCCCTCCTGGAATGAAGCCTGGATTTTCAGTTTTTGTCTGTACTACATTGTCTGCATCAGAAACAGTAAACTCATTACGACAGGGAACACACCTATTTATGTACGTACAGAACTGAGCACATTATTGATGCCACTAAATAGTAACCTTATACCTTCAGGGTACTCAGATAAGTACAAAGATGGCATTCTGATACTCTATAATCATTACAATTCCTCTCTGACTGCACTTAGTTAACAATTTTATCTTACATTCTTCCTCTCATTCATATTTCTCTTCCCTTCCTTGAAGTTCCATGCCCTTTCTTCATATATTGATAAGGAATCATAGAATATCAGGGTTGGAAAGGACCTCAGGAAGTCATCTAGTCCAACCCCCTGCTCAAAGCAGGACCAATCCCTAGACAGATTTTTACCCCAGTTCACTAAGTGGCCCCCTCAAGGATTGAGCTCACAACGCTGGGTTTAGCAGGCCAATGCTCAAACCACTGAGCTATCCCTCCCCCAAGGAGTAGCAAGCTACCTTGGAAAGTTTGGGGAGTGTGGATGCTATTGGTTTTAGTGTGGGAAGAAAATCAACGGGTTTTAATAAATGGCTTTTTCTGCTAGTTACTTCAAATAAAATGTTTTCTCTTTAAAGAAACCAAAATGCATGCAGCAGTCAGACAAAAGTCAGTTGCAAACAAACAGAAACAGACACTGGAAGGATAAAGAATGTGATGAGTATAAATAACAGATAAGAACATAAGAACGGCCATACTGGGACAGACAAAAGGTCCATCTAGCCCAGTATCCTATCTTCCGACAGTGGCCAATGCCAGGTGCCCAGAGGGAATTACCAGAACAGGTAATCATCAAGTGATCCATCCCATCGCCCATTCCCAGCTTCTGGCAAACAGAGGCTAGGGACACCATCCCTGCCCATCCTGGCTAATAGCCATTGATGGACCTTTCTTCCTTGAACTTATCTAGAACATGGCTGATATTACCACAATAGACAAAAGATTATGTGCTTCTCGGCAATCATTATTGTACAGGAACTCCTCACTTAAAGTCGTCCCGGTTAACGTTGTTTCAATGTTAAGTTGCTGATCTATTAGGGAACATGCTCGTTTAAAGTTGTGAAATGCTCCCTTCTAAAGTCGTTTGGCAGCCACCTGTTTTGTCCGCTGCTTTCAGGAAGAGCAGCCCGTTGCAGCTAGCTGGTGGGTGACTGGAACCAGGGTGGACCAGCAGTCCCCTATCAGCTCCCCCTATCAGCTCCCCACTCCCCTAAGTTCCCTGTGCAGCAGCTGTCCCTCCCCCCACTGCCATGTGCTGCTCCTGCCCTCTGCCTTGGAGCTGCTCCCAGAGACTCCTGCTTACTGTATGGGGGGGAAGGAAGAGGGGGGCTAATGTTAGGGTGTCTCCCCCTCCCCCCTCCTCCTGCACCCCTCTTACCCCATCTTCCATAGAGCGGGGGGACACATGATGGAGGGAGGGAGCTTCTAGGCAGTAGCTGCCTTCTCAGGTCTCAGCAAGCTGATTTAATTAACAAGGCAGTGTACTTAAGCCTGGGGTCAGCTACTTAAACGGGAAATGCGCATTTTTTCTCTCACACACAATGTGTGTCTCTCTGTCTGCCCTCCCTCCTTTCCTGCTGCCTTGTAGAGTGTTGTGAGAGTTAACCCTTGAGGGCTCAGTCAATTGCTAGTTCATTTATCAGTAAGGCATTCCCTGGGAAATATCCCACCCTTTGACTCCTCTACCTCAACGAAGCTTCACAATCATCATCACTGTGTACCAGTATTAAATTGTTTGTTTAAAACTTATACTCTGTGTGTGTGTGTGTGTGTGTGTGTGTGTATAGTCTTTTGTCTGGTGAAAAAAATTTCCCTGGAACCTAACCCCCTCATTTACATTAATTCTTATGGGGAAATTGGATTCGCTTAACATCGTTTCGCTTAAAGTCGCATTTTTCAGGAACATAACTACAACGTTAAGTGAGGAGTTCCTGTATCCTTTTGATGATCCTGCTGTCCTGAGAATTTAATGTTGTATTTGAGTATGGAAAGAACTAGTGACTCCTTGAGTCATATGTGTTTGTCTTCTTACACTGTTATGAAAAGGGAATTTTCCTCAGACCAATTTAGAAAATAATTAAAATTTGAATTGATTATTTCATTGTTAGCATTACTAATGCAGATTGTTAGCATTACTAACTCAGTTAATAATTAATAATAGAATCTCTATAGTAAGTACAAAACCTTTTACTCAGGTTAGAAAATAATTAGAAAGAGGAAGGCTGATCTGGTGGTTAAAGCATTGGATTGGACTTCAGAACACCCGAGTTCAGTTCCTGGCTTGGTCACAAACTCCCTGTGTCATGTAACATCTCTGAGCCATGGTTCCCCAGCTGTAAAATAGGGATAATACGCTTTCCTTTATCCCACCCTTTATCTTTTTTGTCTGTCTAGATTGTAGCCTCTTTGGGACAGCGACTGTTTGTTATTATTGATTTGTATTACAGTTGTGTTTAGATGCTTCAACTAAGAACACTTATAAAATGCATAGGAATAAACTCACTACACATGGCTTTATAATGAGTGCATTTAGTGCTTGTCACCTGGCTTTCCAGGAGACCAAAGCCCTCTCTCCATAGTACAGGAATCTTTCCCCATACTGCAAAGCTGCACTGAAGAGGGACTATATGGCCCATTCAATTGTCTCCCATGCAAAACTACCAGCAAGGGGCCAAACATTGCCAACGGTGGTTGTGCGTGATACTGACAACTGGACTGAGACAATAGCTCATTTATAATAATAATAATAATCCCTAGCTCTTATATAGCACTTTTCATCCATAGATATCAAAGTGCTTTACAAAGGAAGTCAGTATCATTATCCCCATGTTACAGATGGGGAAACTGAGGCATGAGAAGCAACGGTCACCCTGCAGCAATGCTGGGAGCAGAACCCAGCTCTCCTGAGTCCCAGTCCAGTGTGCTACCCACTAGGTCCCACATTGCACACAA